TGTCATGCCAAGAGTCGAGGGTTCTATTTGGTCCTTCGGGATATATATGTGGTCCTTTGGAATATATATGAGGTCCTTCGAGACATATATTTGGTCCTTTGGAACATATATGTGGTCCTTAGGCACAATTATATATGGTTCTTCGGGATATATATGTGGTTTTTCAGGATATATATGAGGTCATTCGGGATAATTTTATATGGCACTCAGTACAAATTTATACGAGCTGTGGTAATAGTATATATGCACAACCTCAATGTACTCAAATACCTTAAGTTCTCAGTAATGTGCATGGTCACATAAAAAATATAAAAAGAAATAACTTGATGATAAGATGACATGTGTTATTGCTAAATGCATGATTATATATGTTATTATTGAGTAGTATATGATGACTGGATTGTATGTTCATGACTTAAGTATTGCATTAGTGTAATATATGCCTCACTAAGTCTGTGATTTAGCGTGTGAGTGTTTCACACATAGGTACCAAGAAGCAGGAGGATCAGAGTTAAGATCCAATAAGGCAACATACCCTTTTACAGAAGATCAGATCAGAAGTGATTCAAACAGTATGCCATTTTTGTTGTATTAATTTTGTTGGCATGTAATCAAGTTTAAATCACAAATGCTTTGATCAATTTTGTAATATTTTGACTATACTTATGTAAATTAGTTCACTTTTATTTTAATGAAAAGTTTAAATTTTCCATGATTTTGTAATAGAAAATGTTTTGAAAAGTAAATGTGACACCTCAAATTGGTATCTGGGTCAAATACAGGTTGGGGTGTTACATATTCGATGTTGATTATAAAGGAGGCTCGTTCAACTAGTGCAATCAGTACTAGGGAGGGAGTATCTGTGAAGTATCTTGACCCAAATGATTGGCAAGTATCGTAGTGTTGGAATCTGGTTAGTGCAACTTGACTCAAGTTTGATGATTGAATATAATCTTAAATATTGCAAATTGTCACCCAACCATTATTAGTTTAAATTACTAAGAATTCTCTAAGAATCAAATGTCCAAAAGGCCCCTAATTGCCTGAATAATGGAATTACTCTAGTTATATATGAATTTTAAATTATGCTGACGTAAGGTTCCTGAATACGTTCCTGATGCACTTAAAATCCTAAACGGTACTGAAATGTCAATTCCTAAATGTTTGATTAGATCCGTTAGTAATCAAACCTTTTTTATATAGGGACAACATACTTGAAATCCGATCAATCTACATAAATTCTATGTTTTCCCTTTTTGATAACAATCAAATAAATTTGAAAAATAAATGAATCTTCTTGTGTGTTCCCTACGTGATATATGATTGTTTTATCTATTTTGAAATGTGATTTACTAGAATTATTGATTTACTGATGTACTGATATATAGGTTGACTGTTTATGTACCATGGCTATCTGATATATGTTATATGAATACTTGTTTTCACTTGAAGATATAATTATGTCAATTTATGAATCATTGAATTCACTACTTACTGTGTGAATCATTTTATTGAGATATTGTTTTTGATTAACATATTGGAGTATGAGGGTTCAGCTCTGATCAAGCTGGTAATTCCTTACGGATCCAAGGCATTCCCTTAGGTTGGCTCCTAGGTCCATTAGGCCTAGGTTAAGTCCTTATGGATGCAGTTCTTGGAAACTACATATGGTGTATGGGTGGAGGGCATTCATGTGATTTAAATTAACTACATAGTCATTTTTACAATATTCTACTAGATACTGTATGGGTAGGAAACTGGAGCACGGAGGTTCAGCTCTGATCAAGCTGGTAATTCCAGACCTAAGGTGACCCTTGGATAGGCCCATAGGCCCCAATGTACTCACTTAGGGTGGCTCTTTTGCTTTGTGCTTAGGGTAAACCTTTATGGATGCAATTCTGGGGGACTGCATATGGAGTATTCAGATAGAGGATATTACAGTGATTTTAAAAATTTGTTTTACTGAAATAAAATATTACAATTTATAATCTATGATTTTATTTATTCTAGTTTCGTGGGAACACACTAGACATCCTCTTCCGATCTCCTGAACCTGGTCCTCTGAACTTTTCCTCTAAACTGTAAGCTTCATGTCTTTCACTTGAAGAAATATCAGCGGAACCTTAGCTCCTCACAAAAATCTGTAGACGTCTGAATCAATAAGGAAAATTTATGTTTTCTCATTTATCTGCATGTCCTTCAGCATCAACAGGTACTTCTGTATTACTGAGCTTCCTAAATCTCACTCTTTTACTCACCATTTCAGGTTAAAAGAATTGATCCAGTGCAACTATCGATATCTGTAATGGGAATTCCTTTGGCTTGGGTTGAAGAGTACGATACAAGTGAAATTAGGGAGCATGTATGTAACATTTGATTTTTTAGTGAGTCTGGAACTTGTATGATTTTAATTATGTTCGTAATATAGGAATGATTTTCTGAGCTTGTATTTTATTTATAAATTATTTTATGATTTTACACATTTTACCAAAAAAATTTAAAGTTTCCTGGATTTTTACTGTGGGTCGCTCCGGTGGCCCTAATGTGACGCCTCAGATCGGGTCACCCACATCGATCTGGGGTGTTACACTTTTGATTTGTAATCAATTGCTTTTCATTATCGTATCACAAATCTATTTAAATTTGTTTGTTTAATAAATGAGCAGTAATTTTTTATTCATATTTATTTAATTGAAGAAACAAACATAAATGAATAATATACTTACGATTCACGAGTAATTCAATTACATTATATATGATAAAATTATGTAACATTATATAACGTGAGAGAGGGCATCCCTCCCACACTTTGAGTCCACACATTCATGTCAATGGGTCCATAAAAAATAAATCAACATCCCTTGACAATTACATTCACCCATTTTCATTTAATTCAATTTATGATCAATGCCGCCATCATCTTCTGTTCTTTTACTGTTTTCATGCCAAACAATCAGCTTCTTTGTATATCTTACGTTTTATATCTCCCCTTTCTTTAATTTCTGCTATTTGATTTTATCCATGAATTAGTTTGGTACATAGATTAGCTAGGTTTAATTCCCAATAATTACTCTATTACTGTGCTGAAGTAGGTATTTTAAATAAAATACCTAATTAACATTTAATTCATTCGTTAATGTATAATTATTTTTAATTTTAAAGGTTCCAATCTGATTTTTTTTCACAAATTGACGAAAACAATATTTCAGACCAATTATATAGGGCATACCTTGTAGCAAAAGAAATAAATGCAAGGGCACGAACAGTTTATTAATCAAGGCATTCATGTTCATAATGATGGAATTTAACCTCCCATATTAAGGGAATTTGACTTCTTTTTATAATGAAATAAGAGATTTTCAAGTATTTTTTTTAGAAAGTGAATTTAACCTCCATTTTTTTACTTAAATTTGATGATCAATTTTTTATGAAATTATTATTATTATTTTTAAAAAATGCTAGTTAAGTGGTTCATATTTGTAAAGTATTTGACTTAAATTATCTGATCCGTTGACATGTTGACTCGTTTAAAATTTTTAAACTTTTAAACGAAAATACTCGAATTTATGTGTATTACAATTTGTGTGAATATTTAAATGGGTTGAGATAATTTGTGCATATATGATATAGCCGAATCAATGAATGAGAATTAAAAGAATGATATAAAAATGATTCAATATGTTTATGACTTTATGTGGTTTTATAAAAAAGGGTAAATTAAGAGTATGTCATAATTATTATATATATTTATAATTTGAATATTATAGATTCAAAAGCTTTCAATTATTTAAATGAAGTATTTGAATTAGAATTTTAGAATCAAATTTTATTTCGACTTAAAAATCGAGTACATAAATATAAATTTTTATCTATAGATTAGCACAAACTAAGAGAAAACTATACTATACGTACTAAAAATATGTAAGAGAAAACTATACTATACGTACTAAAAATATGTATTTTTTTCTTTACTAAAAATTTTCTCCCAAAGAGTTGTCCATGATGATTATTTTTTATGCAAATAGAAGGTATTGGTTTTATTTTAAAAAAATATCCAAAATCTACAACCATAAAAGTAAATTGAACTCATAATTAAGATATATTCTATAGTCATCTGACATAATAAAATAGCTATTTGAGATCATACAATGACCATAAAAGGAAAAAAAAGTTAAAAATCATCTAAAAACTCAAACAAAATATAGATACAAAAATATCTGGTTGTGTCAGTTAACGAACCACAACATGAGATCAAACTACTGAAAGATCTATGACAATCGTAAATCAGAGTTGAGCACCATGAGAAAACTATCTCTGAACACAAATTGTTTATTTAAATCCAATTCGAGAGTTCAAAGAAGAGAATATCAACATGATAACAAATAAGCGTAATCTTGATCAGTCGAGGTGACGTGAAATCCAATCCTTAAAAAACTAATAAAAGAAAACAACTAAACGACCGATAAAGAAAAAAATATGTCATAAAGACATAGTTATTATAAACTAAAAAAGAAAAGAAAAGAAAATAGGTAATATAAGAAAGTAAAGAAAAATAAGAATATCATAATAGCGGCCAGGCAAATAAATATGAAAAAATAGAGGACAAGTGACTTTAATATATATATATATAGTACACACATTTTATCGAGAAAATTAAGAAAATAATACATATTATTTTCATATTTGATATCTATCAAGTGTATAAACATGTGAGTAATACAGTAACAACTCATTAAAAATTGTTAGAAACACCTATAAACAATTACAATTTTCACTAGATAAGATATGACATCACATGGTATCCATTGATGGTTAATGAAGTTTTACCATGGGGGGGGATTAAGCAAGATGCTGTTATTGACCAGAAAAAGGAGAGATGAGAAAGAGACAGAGGCTTTGTTGAAGTGCCATTTTCCTATATATACTTTCTAGGGTGAACTAGAAGCAAGCAAAATAAACGCAGTCTCATCCCTCCCCATTATTCATTCCCAATCCTTTTACCTCTCTCTCACACATAAAAATTATTCTTTCATCATTGCAACACCTCACACATCTCTCTCTCTCTGGATGTTTGTTCCTTAAACAACACCAGAAAGCCAAAAAAAAATAACCCAAGTTCTCTTTTTTTCCCTGGTTTATTTGGATCTCAGTGAACAGTATTTGAGACCCTTAAAATGAACAATAAAAGGGATCTCAGTGAACAATGTTTGAATCGGATCCCTGATCTCTCACTGCATATTAGCCCCCCAACACTGCTCCTTCCTTTGATATTTGGCTCAAAGACGATGGCGATACTCATAGTTCCCAAGCAGATACCCAGCTCTCCTTATCAGCTGGTGCAAGTAGTTATGAAGATCAAACATGGCACAGAAATGTTCCCAAATGGGGTCAGCTAAGTAATATAAACCATGGGATTTCATTGCTTGATGTTTCTGGACTGAACCCCATCAAGGGGATCCCGGTTTACAGTAACCCTATTTCGTTCCCCTTGCACTCGGCTGATGCTTATAGAATAGGAAGTACAGCAGCTGCAGCTAGGTTTAATGGGGTTTCACTGGAGAGAGCAAGGCCACAGTTTCATCAACAGTACAACCAATATGGCTTGTCAATGGGGAGTTCGAGATTTATACCTAAATTACCGAGCAAAAGGAACACAAGGGCACCCAGGATGCGTTGGACCAGCTCTCTCCATGCTCGTTTTGTTCATGCTGTGGAGCTCCTTGGCGGCCATGAAAGTAATTCAACTAAATCAAAAGTAAAGTTTTAGTTTTTAGCTTTTGGGGGACTAACTTGATGAGCTTATGTACTTGGTAGGAGCAACTCCCAAGTCTGTGTTGGAGCTAATGGATGTCAAAGATCTAACCCTCGCCCATGTTAAAAGCCATTTACAGGTAACCAAAACTTCAAACCCTCACCCCTTTGTTTTTGCCCTAAGAAAATGTTTATCAACCATTGGAACCGGCACAAGAGCCGATGAGAGCAATGAATGAATGAACAGTAAAGAGTGTGTTTTTGTGATACAGCAACTTCAACTTTTAAAAGAGAAAAGTGGCATCATTTCTCAATAATATAAAGCAATTACTGAGCTCACCAAACATCAACCTCGTGTTTATTAAACAATCCAATAAAAACCCAGAACTATATACTTTTGAGTGGGGGATGTTACTTTATCCCTATATTAGTTAATCAATCAAATATTTCATTGTCTCTCTTGCCTTTCATTATCTTTTTTTCTTTGTTTTTTTCTGCAGATGTATAGAACTGTTAAGAGCACTGACAAACCTGCAATTTCCTCTGGTAATTCGCATCTATTTTTTTTTATCAAAACTTAAAATATTTCTAGCATGCATTCTTATTTGCACTTGGAAAATATGTTGATCCTGTTAATTAGTTTTATTTGACAAATGTAATTAGTAAATGGCTTAATTTCTTTGTTAAAATAGTAAATAGACAAAATGATTTGTGACAGATGGGTGTGCAGAAGAAGATTGTTTGCCTGTTTCCAGAAATTCAATGAGTAACAACTCATCCAGGTAAGTCTCTCCAGTTTTACATTTATTTATTTTTTACAGATTCTTTGCTTTAAATATATATAGATATGCCAAATTTACTCTCACTTTTTTCTCTAGGTTTTTTTTGTCTTATAATGCATGACTAGATTTAGCTAATTAGGACATATCAGAAAGTTTTATATTTGATATAAATTATCAAAAGTTCCCAATATTTAATTTTCCCTTTTTCTTTTTCTTTAATTAGTCTGAGTAGATACGAAATAGTATTTTTTAAAGATTTTTAACTATTTATCATTAAATACTCATATCCTTTCATTCGTGGTGTTCGAACTCAAAACTTCAATGAATAACAATAATTCTTTAATTTGTCGCTTAGTTTATTATTTTTCTTTTTCCTTTTAAATGTGACAACATAATCAATAAAGAAGGTAGAAAGCTATTCTTTAGGGCAGTTTTTGCTTCTTCTTTTTTTAGTTTAACTATCTGTATATGATTTATTCATTGATTATTTTGGATCGAATTTTATAAATATCTATCATAAGACGATCCTCCAAACCCATTTTGCTCCGTTCTCAAACACTAAATTTTGAACTCTTAACTTTGTTTAAAAAATCTAATGTTTTATCCTACTAAATGATGGGTTCAGGATAGCTTTTGATTTATTAACCTTTAATCAATCCTTTTATATTTTTATGCTTACTTTCTTCAAAACGAACGATGAAAGATGATCTTTCCCACCATTAAAACAAGCCTTCTTTTTCCTTTTAAATTGGGCATCTCCAACTTAAGTACGAGTTGCTGGGGTGAGAAGAAAATTAAAGATGGCAGTGTCTTGAGTGCAGAAATTACACTGAAACAGTGAAAGTCGCAGCTACCCCAGCTTAGGTGCTCAGTCAACTTACATGTACCACTACTATTTTTTTTCTCATCTCCCGTGGTTATTAAATTACATTTTCTCTCAAGTTTTATGTAAAAGATTAATTTATATTAAATAAATAGTTAAAAAAACAAATTTGGATAATACTCTAAACCTAATCGTAAAAGTTAAAAATTTCAGTTTTTTCGTTTGAAAATGATTATGGGGTCAAAATAAGCCTTATATATATACATAACCAATGGATAAATGGACCCAATTGCTCTAAAAGATCAACACATCACATGTTATTATTCTAGGAATTCAAAAACAACTAAATCTACACCTAAATTTAATGTTGGTATTAAAATAACAGAGTAAACTTGAAAGCACAGTGAGATAGTCAAGAGACTCAAGACACATAAAATCACACAAGTTTATAAATGAAATATTGATGAGTATCTAACAACTAGCAACAAAGTAATCCAATTACATAATTATCAAAGACCGATATTCAGACATATCTTATATGGCAAGTTACTTGGCATAAAATATTTTAATTTATCAATTTTCATTAGGCTTTGTTAGGTGGTATATTAGGGTCCTACAAATATTCAGATTTCATCTCGTCGTCAAGTATCAAAACGATACAATACACAACAAAACATCCCTTCGTCTTGCCCGATCGAAGTCCAAATATCACAACATATCTTCGTCTCACTAAGACTAAAATTTATAAAACTCATACATAAACACTCATGGACCCAATGACATTCCAATTGTATCTGAAACTCACTAATAATTAGGACTTAAAACAATATAATTTTGAGGACTCGTCAATAGATGCTAAAGGCGAAAGGAAGAAGATGAAACCTCATATCTCCTTTCTTCCAAATTCATTGGTTAAGGGAATTGGCAAAAATATGACTTCATTCCTTCTTTTATTTTCAATAGTTTGGGACTATTGTAAGGTAGTATATGTTCATATCTTTCTTAACTAATTAACGACGTATACAAACCCTACAAACGTAACTACTCAAACCCATGATCTTTAAAGAGAACAACGTTACCTTTTACTGTTAAAGCCACTTGATAGATTCAAATATAACTTCATTCCTTTTTTTCCCTTTAACCTTAATTATTATTAATTCTAATAATAAAATAAGGCTAGAATTTTATAATTTTGTTTGTGGTGTTTACTAACTCCACTCTCATTAAGTAGGATTAGGCATAGTACTTGGTGTACATGCAAGTCCCTTCTATGTAAACACTTACGTTTTTGTTTAATTATTAATGTTCAGCATGTTGACTGATTAATTTAAATTAAATATTATAGAAATTTATTATAAAAAGATTATACGGAAATTTAATGATCAATAAAGGACAATACAAAGGTTGTCAATACATAACACGTACCTTCAACCTAAATGCATTGCAAAAACCTAGTGAAACAATTAAACAGTACCATTACCAAATAAGACCTAAAATATATTAATGATTGTAAGGTATGGCTCATAAATATACCGGTAAAGCGGTACATGGTTAATTTTGTAATTATGTACCAGGGTTTTCTATTATAAATAGAGATGTAACCTAAACCTATTATTATTGAATAAAAATTTTCTAGCGCCGCCTAGGCACCGAGGACGTAAGCACATTGCCGAACTTCGTTAAAATTCTTGTGTTCTTTCGTTTACTTTGCCCGATTTATCAACAATTGGTATCAGATGTCAGGAGAAAAATTCGAAGTTGCGAAATTCGATGGTATGTGTAACTTCGGATTATGGCAAACGAGGGTGAAGGATCTGTTGGCGCAGCAGAAGATCCTGAAGGCTTTGCGACCTACAAAGCCGGCGTCGATGGAGGAGGAAGATTGGGAAGAATTGCAACAACGAGTGGCAGGAACCATACGATTATGCTTGGCGGACGAGGTTATGTATCACGTCATGCATCTATCATCTCCAGACGAAATTTGGAGGAAGTTGGAAAGTCAGTTTATGTCCAAATCCTTAACGACAAAACTGTATCTAAAGCAGCGGCTGTATGGGATGAAGATGCAGGACGATCATGATTTGGCGCAACACGTGAATGTCTTCAATCAAATCGTTTCTGATTTGGCTCGGCTTGATGTAAAAATTGAGGATGAAGACAGAGCGATGATTTTGTTATGTTCATTGCCTCCCTCTTACGAACACATGGTGACTACTCTTACATATGGGAAAGAGACTATCAACGTTGAGGAGATTACTGCACCTTGTTGGCTCACAACCAGCGGAAGCAGAATGCAGGGGAAAACTCTCAAGCCGATAGCTTATATGTCAAGGGTAATCGAGACCGTGGACGGAAGCCAGAGAAGGCAGGGTCTGGCAAGCGGAATTCCAGATCCAAATCTAGGGATAAGAAGACAATTCACTGTTACAAGTGCAAGGAGGCGGGACATATGAAGCGAGACTGTCCGAAGTTGAAAAACCAAACTGATGAGAAGCGTGATGTTTTATCCAAGTCTGTGAACGTGGTTGAGGATGACAATTCTGATTGCAGTGAGGGTGATATGCTTTCTATTTCAACGACTCAATTGACGGATGCGTGGATTCTTGATTCTGGATGTTTTTATCACATCACGCCAAATAGGGAATGGTTTTCGACATACAGGTCGGTTAATTCTGGTTCTGTTTATTTGGGTGATGATCGATGTTGCAATATTGTTGGTATTGGTGATGTCAGAATTAAGATGTATGATGGCTCTGTTCGGACGTTGAGTGGTGTTCGACATATCCAGATTTGAAGAAGAATTTGATTTCTTTGGGCACTTTGCACAAGAATGGTTTTATCCCTAAGGCCGATGAGGATAGGGAAATCATTCGGATTGTTAAAGGTGCTTTGATTGTGATGAAAGGAAAGATGACTGCAGGAAATATTTATAGATTGTTAGGGAGTATCGTTGCAGGTGGAGTTCATTCTGTTGAATCCTGTGATGATACTACAAAACTGTGGCATATGCGTCTTGCTCATCTTAGTGAACGTGGTATGACAGAATTACACAAAAGAAATCTGTTGCATGGTGTCAAAAGCTGTAAGCTTGATTTTTGCAAGTATTGTGTTCTTGGTAAACAAACTAAAGTCCGTTTCAAGACTGCGAAGCACACAACTCAAGGGATTCTTGATTATGTGCATTCTGATGTATGGGGGCCTTCCACGACATCGTCTTTGGGTGGATCTAGGTATTATGTTACTTTTATTGATGATTTTTCACGGAAAGTTTGGGTGTATTTTTTGAAATAGAAATCTGAAGTTTTTGAGAAGTTCAAGCTGTGAAAAGGAGAGGTAGAAAACCAAACAGGACGAAAAATCAATTGTTTGCGGTCTGATAATGGTACGGAGTACACAGATTCACAGTTCTTACACTTCTGTAAGGAGCACGGGATTAAGAGACATTTTACAGTGCGCAAGACACCACAACATAATGGTATTGCGGAACGGATGAACAGGTCATTGAATGAAAGAGCCAGATGTTTGCGGTTGAATGCGGGGCTTCCCAAACACTTCTGGGTCGAGGCTGTTAACATGGCGTGTTATCTTATCAACAGATCGCCAAGGGCATCATTGGTTGGGAAAGTTACAGAAGAGGTATGGACTGGTCATGATGTTAGTTTTGATAACTTACGGATTTTTGGTTGTCCCGCTTATGTGCATGTACCTGCTGATGAGAAATCCAAACTTGATGCAAAATCGAAGGAGTGCATTTTTCTGGGTTACAAGAAAGGTGTCATAGGATTCAAGTTCTGGGATCCAGTTGCGAAGAAAATTGTGATCAGTAGAGTTGTTGTTTTTGATGAACAATCCATGTTGCAACAGAAGAAAGACACGACAGTGGTGGATTTCGAGCAGTTTCCAGTTGAGAAACCAGAAACGTCTCAATCGACTTCTGGTGGTTGCACTACGGATGATTTGTAAGATTATAGTCTCGCCAGAGACAGGGTGAGACGGACGAATATAAAGCCTCCGAGTAGATTGGGTTTTGAAGACTTGGTCTCTTTTGCACTTATTGTTAGCAATGATGATCCGGTTACTTTTCATGATGCTGTTACTAGTCAGGAAAACGACAAGTGGATGGCAGCCATGGTTGAGGAGATGGAGTCTTTGAATCACAATCGTACATGGGAGTTGGTTCCCCTTCCTGAGGGTAAAAAGCTGATTGGTTGAAAATGGGTGTATAAGAAGAAACCAGCAGTAACAGAAAAAGAGGGGGAGAAGTTCAAAGCTCGTTTGGTAGCAAAGGGTTTTTCACAATAGAAATGAGTTGATTATGATGAAATCTTTTCTCCTGTGGTCAGACACACTTCAATCTGAGTAGTACTTGCATTGGTGGCCAGTTGGGATTTGCATTTAGAGTAGATGGATGTTAAAACTACTTTTTTGCATGGTGATTTAGAGGAGCATATCTACATGCGGCAACCTGAAGGTTTCACTCAACCTGGAAACGAGCATTTAGTTTGCAGATTGAAGAAATCTTTGTACGGGTTGAAACAGTCTCCGAGACAGTGGTATAAACGGTTTGACTCCTATATGATCAAGATTGGCTACAACCGATGTGAGTATGATTGTTGTGTATATGTTAAGAGCCTTGATGATGGTTCTTTTATTTTTCTATTACTGTATGTTGATGATATGTTGATTGCTGCGAAGAACATGGATGATGTTATCTGTTTGAAAACTTTATTGAGTCATCAATTTGATATGAAAGATTTAGGTGCTGCAAAGAAAATTCTTGGAATGGAAATTTGCAGGGACAGAGACTCAAGGAAACTGTGGCTATCTCAACGGGGTTATGTTAAAAAAATGCTAGAAAGGTTTGCGATGAGCAGCGCAAAACCAGTTAGCACTCCATTGGCGAACCACTTTAAGCTCTCATCAGAACAGTGCCCTAAGACAGATAAGGAAGCTGAAGATATGGCAAAGGTTCCGTATTCTAATGTTGTTGGTTGCTTGATGTATGCATGGTATGTACTCGTCCTGATTTAGCTCATGCTGTTAGTCAAGTTTGTAAGTACATGTCTAAACCTGGTAAGCAACATTGGGAAGCAGTCAAGTGGATCTTTCGGTACTTAAAGGGTACTGTGGGACATGGAATTATTTTTGGTAGTCAACGAGATAATCCTTTGGTTGTAGGATATGTAGATTCTGACTATGCATGTGACTTGGATAATAGAAGATCTACGACAGGGTATGTTTTTACTCTTGGTGGAGGACCTATTTGTTGGAAGTCTACTGTTCAATCTGTTGTGGCACTATCTACAACTGAAGCTGAGTACATGGCAGCGGCTAAAGCTACAAAAGAAGCTTTATGGCTCACTGGTTTAGTGAAGGAGTTGGGTGTTCAGTAAGGTGGACTTCAGCTGCTCTGCGATAATCAAAGTGTTATTCACTTAGCTAAGAATCAGGTATATCGTGTTAGAACTAAGCACATTGATGTACGTTTTCACAAGATCATAGAGTTGGTTGCATCTGGAGAGATTTTGTTTCAGAAGGTACACACTGATGAGAATGCCGCTGATATGTTCACCAAGCCAGTTACAACAGACAAGTTCAAGCATTGCTTGGACTTGTTGAATGTTTCAAGTTGTTAAAGAAGTAAGGTAACCCAACCTACATTGAATGTTTCCTAAGGGGCAGGATATTCGCCAAGGTGGAGATTTGTAAGGTATGGCTCATAAATATACCGGTAAAGAGGGCAGGGGATGGAGCGGAGTGAGCGAAGCAAACATCAAATGTCCTTACAAAGAAAGTCTTATATAGAGGGGGTTACGATTATGTAGGTTGGGGGTGCGGGGGCTGTGCCCCGCGGTACGGTACAGGATTAATTTTGTAATTATGTACCAGGGTTTTCTATTATAAATAGAGATGTAACCTAAACCTATTATCATTGAATAAAAATTTTCTAGCGCCGCCTAGGCACCGAGGACGTAAGCACATTGTTGAACCTCGTTAAAATTCTTGTGTTCTTTCGTTTACTTTGCCCGATTTATCAACAATGATAAATGTTTAGAATCTTAGTTAATATATATATATATATATAATGTAGACACAACTGCTCGAAACCGGACAACACACAATTTTATCAATTAGGTCAATTCTTACCTATGAATACTTTTGAAAGAGAGAGTTCAGACTTTAGGGCCGTTGGAGTTATACAGTCGAGTATGGTGTCCTCTTGTTTCTGTTGATGGTCCAGCACAGCCGAGTGCTTGCAATCTGCATTAATTCATGGCGTGGGTTTATTTTCTTCATTAATGAATCTCATTACTTGTACATTTCAAACAAGTATTCTATACATGTGCATGTCAATAGATCTCATCTCAAATTACTTTTTCAAGTGCCACACACACACACACATATATATATATGAATTGACCTGAGTTCTGGTCCTGGGAACCACGTTAGTTCACATGCATGGTGGTGGACAACTTGTGATATTTAACTGATTTTTACCATTATGTATGGTTAAACTGTGCTTTGGTTTTGATTGAATCCTGACAACGTAGGTTACTTTGTGGTTTGCACTTCTCTCAACTCATTGTTTGATTGAAAATATTTGCTTAAGTTTATGAATTTTGGCGCAGTGGGGGAGTTTGGTGTTCGAGTTCGAGGAATCCAGACAAGTTTAGCCAATCATCTCAACCCGAAAAACAGTTCAACGTAAGAGATCATACAAAAGCTGTTGATTTTTGGTATCAGATTAATCAAAATATTTTGTTTATCGGCTTAGGCATGCACATGCAACACTAAATAGACCATCTAGGGTTAACATTGCATTGCTTTTTTCGGCCTAGCAATTAATACATATACTTTCTTGTTTCTGCAACATGTTGAGAAGGACTGAACAATTCTTCTTTCGTTTACATTTGAAGTGAAATAATGCATTTAAACGATGCAGGGAAGCAACTTTGGTCAACAAAACTCAACGATGTCAAACGTAGAGCTTCACAGCCCAAACTTGGAGATCAGCTTAGGAACACCACGGCAGACACAGTAAAAAATGGATGATGGGGAAACAAACGGAATAGGTATATACGAGTTATGATTCACTTACGACTTGCAAATTTACTTTTAGCTTTTATTTTTTCGAGAATGAATACATGATCCGCTAATCAAGAGATTAAAAAGATGTTTTTCTTTTTTCGAGGGAGAAAAATAGAAGAGTAAACAACTTTAGAATTACCAAAATAGGGCCCCTGGGATGGTCAGCATACCAAAATCGTTATCTGGGAAATGTACCTTTTTATGATCACCGAAGGTACGTCTTTCGATATCTTGCTCAAGCAAAACCCCAAATTCGACTAGTAATTTTGTTTAATTATTTGAATCTGGGATGGTGTGCGAGAACATATAACTTCCGTATCAGCATCAAGATTTGTTACATCTGGCATAAGTGCCTGCCTTATGCTATTGCATCACGTCCTGCCGGATCATGCATCCATATCAAGACAGCCGCCTGAAAAATTAAAGACAAGTGAAAATCAGTACATTCACATACATTGATACACACATACCATTTCTTACAATTCATATAGGCAATATACAGGTTTTCATTATGTTTGTGATGAATGATTCAAAAATTTACAAAACCATGTGAATAGAGAAAAAAGTTACAAAGACCGGTACCTCTAGTTTTCCATGAAGCTCCGGAATCAATCGTTTGAAAGGTCTTCAGAATACATTGTTCTATACTCATGTTGAATTAAAGAACGCTGAGTCGCATATCGGTGAGCAATAATATCGATCACTGCCTCAGTATCGCATCCCAGCCCTAGAAGGAAAAGTAAAACAGGGGGAAATATGAAAAATAAATATTCTTTTCACCTTTTCTTCATAAAGTCGGTCGTTTTTATGTACATTTTAATGTAAAATCTTGAATTCTATAGTCACAACTGATGCTTTCCACAAATAAAATGGTCAAAATTTGGAATCCTTTTTAATAGAATAAGGTATTACAGTTTAGACAAGAAATTTTTCTTAGCAAATTGACAACTCGAACTCGTTCTCTACAAATTCCAAAGACAGCCCATAGAAATTTAAGCAATCAAAAGGAAACTCTATAAGACTTAATCAAGACAAGGTTATCTTTCGAAATACAAAATGTAGTAGAAAACATCCATAATCATGAATCAAAGCGGAGAGAAAACCCAGGAAGAAAAGCAAAGGAAAAAGAAAGGGTACCTTTAAAAGCACGGTAAAGCTGAAAAGCATCGTCTCTGGGGGAGGTAGGAACCGGCGGGATAGTTAAAGTCGACAATTTTGCTGGGTTTGAACTTTGAAATCAAAATCTCCCAAGCGCTCTGTTAAGAAATAATCGTCAGCCAGAGACACGCCACGAGTACTTCGTTGTTACCTTAATCTCCATTGTTTCTTTTCACACTCGTTCTTTTACTAAATACATACATATATACATATATACATATATACATATATATATATATATATATATATATATATATATATATATATATATATATACATATATACATATATATATATAATATATATACATATATATATATATAGGGCATGATCTAATTATTTTGTGAAAAAAAATTTAATTTTACCCTTTTTTAGGATCGTTAGATGATGAAAAATCAAAGACTGATATTAACTGTAAGAAATGTAGAGATATTTACTTAAAAAAATAAGAAGTTAATTTCAACCTTTGATTTCTCTCATTGATCCTAAAATTGCATAAAACTGAAAGTTTTACGCTAAGTGTAACCTTTTATATATATATATATGAGGGGTGTAAATTTTATTTAAATTTCTTTAAAAAAAATTTAGTTTTTTATTTTTTTATATTTAATTAAATATTTATACTGAAAAATCTAGTTAATTAAGTTATTAAGAAAAAAAATTATATAAGTTGAGTCTCAGATCAAATTATTTCTGACATTCTCTCGATTAAAGAAGGACAAGTATCATACCTCTAAAGATATCTTCTAGAAATAATATATTCGTCCATAATTCATTCAAAGTTTCATACTCCCAAAATGACTACAGTCTTACAATTAAACCTATAATAGTTTTATACAATTTACCAAAATCAAATCTGCTTCAAGAATTGTAATTATCTTGTTTAAATCAACCTACATATAACTATCACCGTTATAGGTTTGACACCAATTATCCTATAATTAAACTATTTATATCACGAAAAAAGTTTAAAAGGTGATTTTCTTTCTCTTTTCCTATTCTCTCACCTATATTGTTCGTCTTCTTTCAATTCCATTCTCTTTCCTCACGCATATCAATCTTGACCCGCGATTGAATTTTTATCAACTATAATTTTTTCATCCAAATAAAAAATTGTTAACAGCTGACGAAACCAAATCCATCAACAATCTTTCCATTATGAACAACTTACAAAATGCACTACTCCTTTTACCACAGCCAAAACTAAGGTTTGCAAGTTTTTGCTTTTCCTGTATGTAAGTGTCCTTTACATGTACCGTTACACATAGCATTTTGGGGTTCTACTCCCCTACCTTGTTCCAATAGTTAGAGTAAATTTCTAGCTATATAAGTTTCCTTTCCGTTACACATAGCATCTTGGGGCTCTTACTCCCCTACCTTGTGTTGAAAGTTAAATAAGTTGGGCGGCTATACACGTGAAGGGGGCTGTTAAATTAATCAAAGTTGGCAGCCGACTGCTTTGAATTTGAAGCATGAAATTGTTGAAAATTAGCAAGGGTAAAATACCCAATTTAGTCACTTTAATTTTAGGGTATTTACAAGATTAGTCCTTAAGTTTCAACTATAAATACCTCAACCCATTTAGCTTCAAAACCATCCCAAAGCATTCTAGCTTTCTTCCAATACTAGATAGAATTTAGAGAGTTTCTTGAGAGTTGTTTTCTCCTTTTTATCAAGAGAGAATTATCATTGTTTTCTCCTTGGTAGATCGAGAGAGGTTGTAATTCCTATTTTTCTCATAGTGAAATTCTTCTACCGTTGCCCGTGGTTTTTACCCTTTATTATTTAGGGGTTTTCCACGTAAATTTTGTGTCTCTTTTATCTTCATTTTTATTTTCTCAAATTATTAGTTGCGATTTTATTCTATCTGATAGCCTTCTTCCGCAACAATTGGTATCCGAGCCAGATTAGAGTGTGTAATATCTGCTTATTGTCTTTGTGGTTGCCACCAAAAGGTGGATCCTCCAACATAAGAAAGTAAGAAGTTATTACCCATTCTTTGAAGGTTCCAGAGAACTATTCACGATAGTGAAATAGTGGGAGCTATCCGTAAACGAAGCAATTGCAACGAAATTTGATATTGAAAAGTTCAATGGGAGAAATTTCTCATTGTGGAATTTGAAGATGAAGGTCATCCTAAAGAAAGACGGTTGTCTAGCAGCTATCAGCGAAAGGCCAATCGATTTCACAGACGACAACAAATGGATCGAAATGGACGGAAATGCTATGGCAAACTTTCATCTAGCATTAGCAGATGAAGTATTGTCAAGTATCGAGGAGAAGAAGACAGCTAAGGAGATATGGATCATCTCACCAAACTGTACGAGGCCACATCGCTGCACAATAAAATTTTCTTTAAGAGAAAATTGTACACTCTCCGTATGACAGAATCTACTTCAGTGACGGAGCACTTAAATACACTGAACACTTTATTTTCTCAGCTTACATCCTTAAGTTGTAAAATAGGAGAACAAGAACGTGTTGAACTTCTACTTCAAAGTCTACCGGATTCGTATGATCAACTCATCATCAACTTGACAAACTGTAATGTCACCAGTCTAGTCTTTGATGACGTTGCAGCTGCTGTTCTACAAGAAGAAAATCGGCGCAAGAACAAGGAAGACAGACAAGTAAATCTGCAACAAGCAGAAACGTTGACAACGATGAGAGGGAGATCAACAGAACGTGGCCAAAGCAGCAGTCACAAACATGGTAGATCGAAGTCGAGAAGCAAGAAGAATTTAAAGTGTTACAACTGTGGAAAGAAGGGTCACTTGAAGAAGGATTGTTGGAGTCTAAATAAAAAATCCAATCCACAAGGCAATACCATAAACACTTCAGATGATGGAGATGCTCTATGATGTGAAGCGTCAACCACCAGGGAAGGAAGAAAACGATTTGCAGATATATGGCTCATTGATTCGGGAGCAACATATCACATGACCTCAAGAAGAGAATGGTTTCATCATTATGAACCTATCTCAGGAGGATCTGTATATAGTTGCAATGATCATGCCTTAGAGATCGTTGGCGTGGTAACCATCAAATTGAAGATGTATGATGGAACAATTAAAGTTGTTCAGATGTGCGACTTGAAAGGTCTGAAGAAAAATTTATTATCCTACGGATTGTTGGATAATAATGCTAGCAAGATTGAAACACGGAAAGAATTATGAAGGTGTTTTGTGGAGCGCTTGTGGTGAAAAGGTGAAAAGATAGCTGCAAACTTGTACATGCTGAAGGGAGAGACATTGCTAGAAGCAGAAGCCTATGTTGCCTCATATAGTTCAGATTCTGCAATGCTATGGCATAAGAAACTTGGACACATGTCAGAACAAGGAATGAAAGTCCTTGTGGAGAAAAAGCTACTTCCAGGCTTAATAAAGGTATCACTTACTTTGTGTGAGCATTGCATAACAAGTAAGCAGCACCGGTTGAAATTCAACACATCAAATTCTAGAGGAAAAGTGTTCTAGAATTGGTTCACTCTGACGTATGGCATGCACCAGTAACATCCCTAGGTGGAGCAAAATACTTTGTCTCATTTATTGATGACTACTCCAGGAGATGTTGGGTGCACCCTATTAAGAAGAAGTCAGACGTGTTTTCAACTTTCAAAAACTTCAAAGCGCGGGTGGAACTTGATTCTGGAAATAAGATCAAGTGTTTCAGAACAAATAATAGAGGAGAATACGCAAGAGAAGAATTTGATGACTTTTGCAGGAAATAAGGCATCAAAAGACAGTTCACAATGGCGAACACTCCTCAACAAAATGGAGTGGCAGAGCGGATGAACAGAACCTTGTTAGAAAGAACAAGAGCAATGTTGAGGGATGCAGGCCTAGAAAAATCATTCTGGGCAGAAGCAGTCAATACTGTCTGTTATTTGGTGAATCGAGCTCCATCACTGCAATAGAGCTGAAGACACCAGTGGAGATGAAGACTGGAAAACCACCTGATTATTCAAACCTCCATGTATTTGGAAGTATAGTGTACTTGATGTACAACACCCAAGAAATTTCAAAGTTGGATCCAAAATCCAGGAAATGCAAATTCTTGGGGTATGCTGATGGAGTAAATGGGTATCGCTTGTGGGATCCCACTGCCCGCAAAGTGATCATCAGTAGAGATGTTATCTTTGTAGAAGATAAACTACAAAGAAAAGAAGATGATGATAGCGCTGAAAATTCAGAGACTACTCAGATACATGTGGAAAAAGAGTGTGAACAAGGAGATTCTTCTGAAGCAGAACCAGCACATGATGAAAAAGAACCAGAGAGTTCTGAAGCTCCAACAACTCGTCAATCAGATCGTGTGAGAAGACGTCCCAATTGGCACTCAGATTATGTTATAGAAGGTAATATTGCATATTGTCTTTTAACAAAGGACGGTGAGCCATCAACATACCAGGAGGCAATAAACAACTCAGATGCTTCACTGTGGATGATGACGATGCAATAAGAAATTGAAGCCCTTCATAAAAATAATACATGGGACCTTGTTCCACTACACAAGGAATGGAAGCCAATTGGTAACAAATGGGTCTTCAAAATCAAGCGAAATGGTGACGATCAAGTTGAGAGGTATCGTGCAAAACTGGTGGTCAAAGGATATGCTCAAAAAGAAGGTATTGATTTCAATTAAATATTTTCTCCTGTGGTTCGGCTAACAACAGTTCGAGTAGTTTTGGCAATGTGTTCTACATTGGACTTACATCTAGAGCAGCTAGATGTTAAAACAGCTTTTCTTCATGGAAATCTTGAAGAAGAAATTTATATGCTCCATCCTGAAGGTTTTGAAGAAAAAGAAAAGAAGAACTTGGTTTGCAGATTGAACAAATCTCAGTACGGTCTAAAGCAGGCGCTGAGGTATTGGTATAAGAGATTTGATTATTTCATTATGTGCCTTGGATACAACAGACTTAATGTAGATCCTTGTGCTTATTTCAAGAGGTCTGGTGATAACGATTTTGTTATATTGCTGTTGTATGTGGATGACATGTTGGTTGCAGGACCCAACAAATATCATATTGAAGAATTGAAGGCACATCTGGCTAGGGAATTTGAAATGAAGGACTTGGGATCAGTAAACAAGATTCTAGGGATGCAAATTCACCGAGATAGAAGTAATAGGAAGATTTGGCTTTCACAAAAGAATTATTTGAAGAAGATCTTGTCACGATTCAGCATGCAAGATTGTAAGCCAATTTCTACCCCTCTTCCTATTAACTTCAAATTATCCTCCAGTATGAGTCCTAGCAGTGAAGAAGAGATGATGGAGATGTCTCGAGTACCGTATGCATCAGCAGTGGGAAGTTTAATGTTCGTTATGATATGCACAAGACCAGACATTGCACAAGCAGTGGGAGTGGTTAGTCGGTACATGGAGAATCCAGGCAAAGAGCATTGGAATACAGTAAAGAGGATCCTGAGATACATCAGAGGGGCCTCAAATGTTGCATTATGTTACGGATGATCAAATTTACTAATCAATGGGTATGTAGATTCTAACTATGCAAGGGATTTGGATAAAAGCAAATCTACTACAGGATATGTGTTCAAAGTTGCTAGTGAAGCTGTAAGCTGGGTTTCAAAATTGCAGTAGTTATGGCTACATCCACAACAGAGGCAGAATATGTAGCAGCTACACAAGCCAGTAAAGAAGTAATTTGGTTGAAGATGCTATTGGAGGAGCTTGGGTACAATCAAGAGTATGTCTCTCTGTTTTGTGACAGTCAAAGCGCATTGCATCTAGCAAGGAATCCAGCATTTCATTCAAGGACAAAGCACATACGAGTTCAATACCATTTCATTCGTGAAAAGGTGGAAGAAGGGATGGTAGATATGCAGAAGATCCATACCAAAGACAATATAGCAGATTTCATGACGAAGGCAATCAATGCAGATAAATTTACCTGGTGTCGATCCTCTTGTGTCCTGTCAGAGACGTAAGCAACATGAAGGTACAAGGTAGAAAGAATGGTGTGAAGATATGATTGTTTCAATCAAATCTTCAAGTGGGAGATTGTTGAAAGTTAAACAAGTTGGGCGGCTATATACGTGAAGGGGGCTGCTAAATTAATCAAAGTTGGCAGCCGACTGCTTTGAATTTGAAGCATGAAATTGTTGAAAATTAGCAAGGGTAAAATACCCAATTTAGTCACTTTAATTTTAGGATATTTATAAGATTAGTCCTTAAGTTTCAACTATAAATACCCCAACCCATTTAGCTTCAAAACCATCCCAAAGCATTCTAGCTTTCTTCCAATACTATAGAGAATTTAGAGAGTTTCTTGAGAGTTGTTTTCTCCTTTTTATCAAGAGAGAATTATCATTGTTTTCTCATTGGTAGATCGAGAGAGGTTGTAATTCCTATTTTTCTCATAGTGAAATTCTTCTACCGTTGCCCGTGGTTTTTACCCTATATTATTTAGGGGTTTTCCACGTAAATTTTGTGTCTCTTTTATCTTCATTTTTTATTTTCTCAAATTATTAGTTACGATTTTACTCTATCCGATAGCCGTCTTCCGCAACACCTTGTTCCAATAGTTAGAGTAAATTTCTTGCTATATAAGAGTCCTTTCCGTTACACATAGCATCTTGGGCTCTTACTCCCCTACCTTGTTCTAATAGTTAGAGTAAATATCTTGCTATATAAGTTTCCTTTTCGTTACATAGCATTTTGGGGCTCTTACTCCCATACCTTGTTCCAATAGTTACAGTAAATTTCTTGTTATATAAGTTTCCTTTGTAATCAAGTAACTATCTCTATAAATAGATACTAGAGATTAAGGTTAGATTTTAAGTGGTATATAAAGATTATTTTGGTATTCTTTTATTTTTGACATTAGTGAAAATTCCATTATCTATTTTATTGCACGATCGTTATGTATATTGTTATCTTTTAACTTCCTTTGTACGTTTCTGATCACCTAATCAACAATGCAATCACTCTCGGTTCTACCAAATTATATAAAAATACATCAAAGCAATACAAGAGCAACTCCACCCACTGAAAAAAACTTCATTCAAACATATATCGGTTTCCATTGGTTTAGTTATTTACAGACAACCTAAAAACTTGCAAACCATGTTCACATCCTTTCACACTAACATTTCGGTCCCAAAAGAGCAAGAAGAAAAGTCCTGTAATGTCCGGATGTTGCGGAGTGAACCGCGTCGTCCAAGGTCTTTTTGTATTTTCTCAGGTACTCGGCTTTGACATACTGCATATCGTTTTCGGTTCGTGTAACGATCACCCTCATAAGTGTAAGGTCATCGCTGTTCTTCATTGCCTTACGAAGAACCTACATGGTTTTCATATAGGAATGAGATCTAAAAGCCAAATGCAGCATATGAAACAAAAACATATATACCTTAGCAAAGTACTCTGCGGGATTAAGAGAGCATTTTAAAATTGTCAAGAGACCATGCTGGAGCTTCCCGGATGTTTTACCCTTCACAACCTGGAAATTTTACAATATGGTATAATAAGAATTTGTTAGATATTAACTCAAACTCTAATAAGTAATTTGAGTTTTTATTATAATTTTATTTGTTAAAGATTATGTAGTAATTGAGCTTATTTAATAAGTAAATTATTTTAATCACAAAAAATCTTATGAACAATGATGGATCCACGCTTATTGTCCATTCTGAAATCTAAATTTTCTTTGATTAATTATTTATTTTACCGATTGTTTTTGTCTTGAAAATTTATTCGTGTCCATCGTACAAAAATTTTATGTTATTAATATATGTGTTCATTCTAAAAAAATTCTAGATCTGTCATTGCTTATGAATTAAGTTTTTTGTTGACTAAATATTGGACTCTATAATATTGAGTAGGTCTTAACTTTTAGATTATGTGAGAAAATTATTTTAAAGATATGCAATCATGTTATAATCTCTACAACTTATAGGATTTACCATGCAAAGATAAGTTTCGTAAAGATTTTAAGAGAAAAATTTGGGATATTTCAAGTTTTGTTATAAATATCGAATTTTAGAATCCATGAGACATATTTGTACCATTTGTGACCTCATATTTGCAATGGAACATTATTCTTCTCATTAGTAGTGAATCTAGAAATTTTTTTGATGACAAGTATATATATATATTAATAACAAAAAAAAATTCGTATGAGATTGACACCTTCAATAAAATTAATAGCTGACATAAATAAATTTAGATTTCATGGTGTGTGATGTCCACTAGAAAAGCCTTGCATTTACCTTTATTTCTCATTCGTAAGTAAATAAATGACCTACGTTAAATCTTATTTCTTACCTGTGATTTTTTGTACGTTGATATTATCTTTTATTATTTTTTCACATACGAATTCCTGATATATTATTCGAAGAATATAAGAAAGACAAAGAAGATTAACCTTTTGTAAGGGGCCTCCATACAAGTCGTGATAAGCAGTGCAAGTAGCTGCTAATTGTGCACTACTTCTTTCACTCAATATGCGTATAAAAGTTTTGTCATCAGCTACCCATCTCTTCTCCCCTGCTTCGTACATGTCCTTTGCGTCCTTCATGGCCATCTCCATATCCACTTCGAAGCCTTCGTAACGCGGTGTAGTTACATATGCAACCAAGAGCTGTACAAAACATATGTTCAATACACAACGCCGGTGGCTTTAACGTTTCATCGTCGGCCGGAAAATGTACCTTTTTATGATGACCGGAGGTGTGTTTTCCGATATCTTGCTCGATGGAAACCCCGAACTTGTACTGGTAAGTTTCTTTGATTAATTGAATCTGGGACGGAGTGCGAGAACATATAACTTCTGTTGCAGCACAAAGATCGATTACGGCTGGTAATAGTCCCTTCCTTATCACTATGGCATCACGTCCTACCGGATCATGCATCCACATCAACATAGCTGTCTGAAAAAAAAAAGTTGAAGATCTTCTAACGTAATATCTTATATTCGTGTACATAAAAAACTAAAAAACTAATAGTACCTCTAATCTTCCATGAAGTTCGGAAGCCAGTCGTTTGAGAAGGTCTTCAGAATAGAGTTCTTTATACTCATGTTGAATTAAAGAACGCTGAGTAGCATCTCGATGGGCAATTATACTGATTACTGCTTTAGCATCGCATCCCAACCCTACAAGGAAAACTACAACATGAAACACAAATATTTTTTTTCTAACATTTTCTTCGAACTCAGTTGTTTTTCTTCCTGCACATGTTAATGTAAGAAAATCTTATCTTTGGAAAAGCAAAATGTAGTAGAAAATCTCGATAATCATGAATCAAAAAAAAGGAAAAGAAAAAGGAGAGAAAACCCTAAAAGAAACGCAGGCGAAAGAAAGAGAGGAAGGGTACACTTAAAAGCTTGGTGAATCTGAACAGCATCGTCTTTGGGGAAGACGGGAACCGGCGGGAGGCTTAAAGTCGACATTTTGAAAACCAGACAGGTCAACTGTTTCAAAATTTTGGTGTTTGAGATTAAAAAGTTGAATCTCGTCAACTGATCCGTTAAGGAATAACAGTCACCCAGCTGGCAGCACGCAGTGCCACCAATTCTCATTTCCATTTTTTACCTTAATGTTCATTTTTTTTCACACGTGTTCCGTTCCTATATAACATCACTTGTTTTTAAACCTATCCACATATATCCAAGTAAACCTATTTCAAAGCACTTGTTTTCAATGCGAACTTCGACTATCGCAATGCGAACTTCGACTATCGTAATGCAAACTTCGACTATCGCAATGCGAACTTGGACTATCGCAATACGAATTTGGACTATCGCAATGCGAATATGTAAATCGCAATGCGATAGTCGAAGTTCGCATTGCGATAGTCCAAGTTCGCGTTGCGATTTTCCAAATTCAACTATCGCATTGCGATTTACATATTCGCATTGCGATAGTCCAAGTTCGCGTTGCGATTTTCCAAATTCGTTGCGATAGTCCAAATTCGTTGCGATAGTCTAAAATCGCAACGACTGGTGGTATTGCATTTGTTTCTTAAGAATTTTCTCTAAAAATATAGTATTCGCGCGGACGTGTCGAAGACACGTATTACCACGACCACGACCCGACCCGACCCGAGACGGACGGCGGCGACGCGCGAGAGTCCCCCTTGTTCTCTATCACTCGACAAGGAAGTGGGAAAGCCAAGCCTTAAATATCATTCCCAATAGTGTTTCCAATACTATGTGGGATTGAGCATTACCAACACTTGTTTCCAATACAATGTGATTATTCAGGAAATAATTAACAATCATGCACCTTAAAACAACTGAATCAACAACCAATTGCATTAGTATTATACGATTAAATATGTTATAATTAAAAGTCAATCTACAATCAATCACGATTATTGCAATTTTAAGCAAAACATTCAAAAATAATATAACTATTTAAGGCTCAATCCCACATAGTATTGGAAACACTATTGGGAATGGTATTTAAGGCTTGGCTTTCCCACTTCCTTGTTGAGTGATAGAGAACAAGGGGGACTCTTGCGCGCCGCCGCCGCCGTCCCGTCTCGTCTCGTGGTCGTGGTAATACGTGTCTTCGACACGTCCGCGCGAATACTATCTTTTTAGAGAAAATTCTTAAGAAACAAATGCAATACCGTCGTTGTGATTTTGGATTATCGCAACGAACTTGGACTATCGCAACAAATTTGGAATAAATCGCAACGCGAACTTCGACTATCGCAACGAACTTGGAATAAATCGCAACGCGAACTTGGACTATCGCAACGAATTTGGAATAAATTGCAACGAATTTGGAATAAATCGCAACGCGAACTTCGACTATCGCAACGCGAACTTGGACTATCGCAATGCGAATATGTAAATCGCAATGCGATAGTCGAAGTTCGCGTTGCGAATCTGGAAACTGATTTGCGATACAGGAGATCGCATTGCGAATTATCGATCGCATTGCGATTTAGTTGGTCATTTTGGCAAATCCAAAAAAAGTTGGTTAAAATCGTATATTATAAGACATTTTTAGTCACTGAGGTTATTTTCTCATATATATATTATGTACTGGCGGCGGGAAAATTAGTTCATAAGTGAGTTTTAACGGTATTATGTCATATTTAGGGTTTAGTGGTATATGTTTTAGGATTTAAGATTTAGGGTTGAGATTATGGTTTAAGATTTTAAATATATAATTACGGATGAGTATGGGTCGGATTAGATTTTAGTTAGTTCATTTTAACTCGAAAAATATGTAAATTTTACTTGAAATTTCACCTAACTCGAGTATTGGATAACTTCACTTGAATCGAAATAATAATATGGATTTAACTGAAAAACAACAATATAAAAATATATTATTGTAATTATATCTAAATATATAAAATATAATTATATAATTTTTGAGTCACGTTAGATAAAATATTATTCACCCTATATTTAAACTCAACTCAAATTTATCTTCTAAAATGTTTGATCCAATCAAATTGAAACCTAACTTTTCTAAGAAAATCTAATATAATAAAATTAAATCGAGTCAAAATTTATTAAATTCAAATCATACACTCATCTCGGTATGGATGTGCTCTTTGGACTAAATAAAATATTAATTATAAGTAGAGGAAAACTTTTGATATAATATTTAAATTGATAATTTTATTATAATAATAATGGTACCTATGGAAACAACATAGTAATTGAAAAAATACAGATTTTAAATAATAATATACGACCCCACCACGTATCCCCATGATTCAGGCATGTGCTTCGCTCCTAATGCTTCAGGCACCTGTCCCGTGATTCTTCACGTATTTCTTTTTTGTTTTTCTTTTTCATTCCTGCAATTTCTAGAATCATCAACTTACAAACATTTAACGTTTTTCAAACATTTTGATTATCATTTCCCGAAGACTTACCCTTGCTCCTGTTTAAAACACGATTCTCCTGGCCAAAACCAGTATTTCTTCTTTTCTTTCCGCGTAAATTCTTAAAAAAGATTCTTACAGATAAGATTTCAATTAAAAAAATAATTTTTCCATCACCATACACATTGCCTTGCATTTGATTTTATGGGTTATTTGTGTTTTGGATTGTAGAGGAAAAACAAAACTCTGGGTAGTTAGGGGGGGTTCTGTTTATGATCTGCATCTGTTCATCGAGTCGAGCGATTGTAATTCCAGAGAAACTAAGATTCAGTATTCTAAAATTTACGAGCTTTCTCATTTTCATATGAAATCATACGCATTTGTCTATCCAAGGATTTTAATAGCTTAATCTCGTCCTCTTCTAAAACTATGGCGGTGGAGCCTTTAACCTCTGGTGCAAGTGGTCGCATAAACGCGCTATTCTCCTTGCGTCCTTTGTGGACCTCTTGTTGCCGTTAAATGCTGTCGTTTTGTTGCTGCTTTTGCAGTTCCGGGGAACAAGACGTGCATCCGCGATCAGTTCCGGGGAGAAAGTGGGGAAGGAAGAGAAACAGGAGAGCCGGAGGAAAGGGTCCTCGTCTTCGCCGGCTGTGGTGAGGGTTCCGGTGGCTATGTTGCCACCTAGAACCGCGGCGGTGGTCGTGGACCAGGAGGTTGCGGCGAGGCGGTCGTTGGCGATCGAGAGGGTGGCTCAGGACGATGATGACAAAACGGTGAGGGAGTTTTCGCTGTTTACAAATGCAAGAGGTGACACCTTATTTACTCAGTCTTGGACTTCCGTTTCTGTCATAGTCAGGTCAGTTTTGGATCAATTCATAACGCTAATTGCTTGATCACTTTTAGTTAAGCTGATGCAGTGATGCTAATGGTTTCTTCTCAATTTAGTTTAAAATTAACTCAGGACATGGGATTTTTGAGATTGAGTTTGAAAATTTTACTTTATTTAACCTTTGAAAAAAAAAATTCATAAAGATTAAAATATGTTAATTTATGTGCTCTGATTCTTCTACATCTTTGAGCCAATGCTTTGAAAATATTAAAATGCTACAATCAATTAAAGAGATGCATATCTGAAAACTGTGGTGAAATGTCCTCCCTTGAATTGCTTTCTGTAGATTATTCCTGCCTGGAATCTTTAAATGTGTGTTTGCTTAAGTGGAAAAGCGAAAAGAAAATAAATTTTGTGCGTGGTAAGCAAGCGAAGTGAGAAGAAAAAAAATAGGGAAGTGAAGTCTGTTAGGTGAGGTAGATTTTTTTTATAGATATTTAAAACTGGAGGAAGAAGAAAGTTGAAAGATAGATGGAAGAGGAAGAGCAAACAACATAATCTCAGCCGTCTATTTTCACTTATCCAAAGAACCTAAAATTATGTAAAATTAAAAATTTTACATTAGGTGTTAGTGATTCCTAACCCTATATATAGAATTCATTAGGTGGTCCTAGTGGTAAAGGGAGAATGTTATTCTCTCTAGAGATTTCGAATTCAAACAATTACATCTGCAGGGTGTGCATGGATTGTCATTAGGCTAAAAAACATTTAAATATATATTATCTTGTAATCGTGTCTGACTAATATAGTAACAATGGGAGGATAGCCTCCTCTTTTTAACCCAGGACGCTCAAAATTTATTTTGTTCCCATTTTTCAGGTCTCCTCTTTTCATACTTTCACTTTTATGTTCAATCAAGCAACATAAACTTCTGCATACGGTCCCCTACCTTTCTTTTACCTGCATTATGCAGACTGTTGGTAGAACGGCAGTTGCTAAGGAGATAGTATTTCCAGCACACTCTGCTATAGTTTGTCACATATTTGTCAAATGTTTTGGCAGTGCCTTATCAGCTTCCCAGGGAGTAATCGTTTGGCACACTTTCCTATTGAATTGGATTTTCAAAAGAAAAAAACTGATGAGACAAAATGCTTCCATCACTGGTTTTCGGACTTCAGTGTGTAAAATTTGTTTTCCTTATGCTTAGTTTAACTTTATAAATTGATTTTCTCGTTAAATGCTTGAGAATTAGTAAATATCCAGCCAGAACTTTTTGAGACTTTTTTATCCAAATACACCCAAACAAAAATTAATATAAAAAAAACACCTATTTTAGACACTTGTTTTTGTCACGTAGGACAAATGCGCATTATGTAGGAAGCGCACTTGCACTCTTTTTTGCCATGTAGGGCAAAGTTGCGTTACTTAGGAAGCAAATTCTGGAAAGCGCTTTCTGCTCATGTGGTATACGTCGGTCATAACTTTTAAATGTTGGGCTAAAATGAAAAGAAATGATGAGCCAAAAACATGAAAAAAGATACAAATTTTGTCTAAAAAGAATAACGCGTGGTGCATGTTGAAGACACATAATTGCACGCGCGTGTGTTAATCTTATGTCCAATCACTCAAAATAAATGCGTGTTGACTATATTTACGCACTTAAAAACCCCTGTATCTAAACAATGATACCTTTATTCACTAGACAAATATGTATCATTTTTCAGGGGATGGTTACTTTATTCACTTGGATGGTGATGTTATTTGCATGCCTTTTTCAGGGGAGTAGTTGTTCTGTTGCATGGCCTGAATGAACACAGGTTTGTTATTTCGATCTGAGTGAACACAGGCTTCTGCAACTTTCGTTTCTTTCTCTTACAATGTTTTATTTTTACAACAGTGGTAGGTACAGTGATTTTTGCAAAGCGTCTTAATGCTAATGGATTCAAGGTCTATGGAATGGACTGGATTGGTAAGTTCAAGTCTCATTCAAAATCGTATTCTGCTTGTCCTGGAATTCTGTCTTATTTATGTTTATTAAGAAACTGTATATGAAAGAAATGTATTGAATTCACGTTTATTGCATTTACAATCATACTAGCTTTATAGCTAGAGTCAAGCTATCAACCACTTAACCGACTAACAATATTTGGCGCCTAAACTAACTGATTGCCAAAGCCATGCTATAATACATGCATGTACACAGTATGCTATAGTCTAACATTCTCTCTACTCTTTTCATTTCTTCCCATAATCGACTCTACACCCCTGGCATCACACATATACTGTGACGAAACTCCTCAAAAGCTGACTTTGAGAGAGGTTTTGTAAAACCATCTGCTATTTGATGTGCAGCTGGTATATAGTTGATCTTCAACAGTCCTGCAGCTACCTTCTCTCGGATAAAGTGAATGTCAAGATCTATATGCTTCGCCTGTGCATGATACACGGGATTAGCGCTCATAGCCACTGCTCCGGTGTTGTCACACCATATCACCGGCTCCCTCCGTTGTTGAATCCCTAGGTCTGCAAGCAAAGAACTTGTCTATGTAACTTCAGCAGCAGCATTAACAAGACACTTGTATTCTGCCTCCATCGTGGACCGAGACACCGTTTTCTGTTTCTTTGAGCACCACGCAACAAGACATTTCTCAACGAACACACCATAACCGGAAATTGACCGTCGATCATCAATGTTTGCTCCCCAATCTACATCTGTAAAAGCTGACACAGACAATTCTGCCTCACTTGCTTGGAACATCAACCCATAATTCACAGTTCCAACCAAGTATCGAAGTATACGCTTGACTGCAAGCCAATGTGGTTCACGTGGTGCATGCATGAATTGTGCCACCTTACCAACACTGTAGGCTAAATCCGGACGTGTATGGCACAGATAGAGCAAGGAGCCAACTATGCTGCGATACTCACTTTCATTTGACAGCAGCTCCCCAGCATCTTTTGACAATTTCGATGCTAGTATCATCGGTGTGGAACATGCAGTTGCACCTGCCATACTAGTTTTCTCAAGCAGTTCCAACAAAAAAAATTTCTGATTCAAAAATAGAGAGCCACGAGAGCAATGCACTTCAATCCCCAAGAAAAAACGAAGTGCACCAAGGTCCTTGAGAGAAAATTTTTCACTAAGCAGCCTCACTACTTGAATCTCACAAGATGAGTGTCCAGTGATGACTATGTCATCAACATAGACCAATACATATATGTCACCAGTACCTCGTTTAGACAAACAACGACGAATCTGCTCGAGATGCTGTAAATCTAATATGCACGAGGTTATCCCGGAGCTTGGCATGCCAGTTCCTAGGTGCCTGACGCAATCCATATAACGCCTTCTGAAGCTTGCAGACGAGGACAGATCCATCTTCAGCAAGTTGCACAAAACCTGGCGGTTGTTGCATGAACACATCCTCAGAGAGGTCTCCATTGAGGAACGCATTATTAATGGCAATGTGCCTCAACTCCCAGTCATTTGAAACCGCTAGTGTCAACACAACATTAAGGGAAGAAAACTTAACAACTGGGCTGAACGTATCAAGGAAATCATACCCTGGAACTTGTGAGTAGCCTTTTGCAACCAGTCGCGCCTTATAGCGATGTATGGAGCCATCTGGATTTCGTTTCAGTTTAAACAACCACTTACACCCAATTGGAGTACGCCCTTCTGGTAATTTCACCAACCTCCACGTGTCGTTTCTTTGAAGAGCCTCTACCTCAGCCTGAACTGCCTCCTTCCAATTAGTCGACTGCAACGCCTCTTGGATTGTGGAAGGTGTATCATTGTCAAAATGAGTGGAGTATGCTTTAGGTTTAAAAACTCCACATTTACTGTGTCTTCATTGGATGATGATTCCTCTAGTTGATAGAGTAGTTGATGTACTCTGTACATTTTGGCCAAGTCCAATTCTTCAATCACAGGACTGGTATTCGCATTATTCAAATCATTTGCACCAGGATAAGTGGCCCCAATAATATTATAATTACCATTATTTTCCAACGAATGCAATGTGGAGTCATCATAGGCGGATACTGTGCCGAGCGGTGTGACCCCAACATCATTGTCACCCGTTGAATTAGAGTGCAATGTGGACATAACTCCAAGCGGTGTGGCTCCATTTGTAGTATGACGAGTGGCCCCAAGCGGCTCAACTCCACTAGCATCAAGCACGCCACTCGATGTGGCCCCAACACCGTTTGCTCGGTTGTTTCCCGTTGAAGAAGGAGACAACGCTCCAAGCCGCGTGGCCCCACCATGTGCGGCATTATCATAAGTGGCCATCTCTCCAAGGGCAGCATTATCACGAGCTTCATGTGCATTCAACACTCCAAGACCATTATTATCACCATGCGCACTATCTTCAACCGGTGTGGCCCCATTATTATCACCATGCGCATCACAAGTGGCCCCAACCTCATGTGCATCATTCTGAATAATTTCAATTGGCACGGCTCCATGAATATTATAATTGTTAAGTGGAGTGGTTGCATGTGCGTCATCACTAGTAGCCCCAACATGCGCATTATTGTGTGCAAGTTCCATCGGCATGGCTCCATTGGTCCCATGCGCATTATGGGCATGTATTATTCCAAACGGCAAGATTCCATTATTATTATAATACATTGTCTCCATGCGCATTATCATGCGCACTGTCTCGGTAGCCGGTTGAAGTGGAATGCGGTGTGGCCCCGGTAATAGCATGGCTGTGCATATTAGACATGTCCTCTTGTCCCACCACATTCTGCGCATTCTCTTGAATAATGGTTGGTGCAGCATCACTAATCCACTTCCTCACATCTGCAACAACTGGAATATCACGTGAACAAGCAGCTTGTGCATGATATGGACGATGCAGTAGTTTTATCTGCAAATGGAAAAACCTTTTCATTAAATACAACATGTCTAGAGATATAAACTCTACCATTACTTGCCAGACACTGATAGCCCTTGTGTTGAGGACTAACTCCAAGGTATGTACAAGACTGAGATCGAAAGCACAATTTGTGATCTGAAAGGGTCTTAGGTGCGGGAAACACTGGCAACCAAAGACCTTCAGTGAAGCAAAACTCTGGTTTCTTCTGGTACAGCTTCTCGTATGGAGTCATTCCTCCAAGCACCACCGTGGGAAGGCGATTGATCAAATGAACAGCAGTCACAAATGCATATGACCAATACTGCATAGGTAAGGATGCTTGAGCTAGCAGAACAAGTCCTAACTCAACAACATGGCGATGCTTACGCTCAACGACTCCGTTCTGCTCAGACGTATGAGGACAAGTCAGTCGATGCACTATCCCTGATCTGGCAAGCAACGCAGGAAACACTCGGTACTCTCCACCCCAATCTGACTGAAAAACTTTGATTTAACTGTCAAATTGATTTGCTACCAATTTTTTGAACAGATGAAACACATCAACAGCTTGCGCTTTGTCTTTCAGTAGATAAAGCCAAGTAAATCGGGTAAACGCATCCACAAAGGTTACATAATAGCGAAAGCCATTGGAAGCAATGTGAGGAGGTCCCCACAAGTCTGAAAAAACCAATTCAAAAGGTGCAGTGTACTCTGTATTAGATGAAGAAAAAGGGAGTTTATGACTTTTTCCCATAAAGCAAGCCACACGTTTATTAACATCAATATCAAGTTTTACATCAAGCTCTTTGGCAATTTTACTTAAAGCAAAACTAGCTGGATGTCCTAAACGTCGATGCCATAGCTCAGACTGAGTCATATCTGAAGTTGCAAGATGAACTGCAGCACCACAACCTTCTGTACTGAAATCACTAAGAGAAAACGTATACAACCCTCCTTTCTCTTCACCTTGCAGAAGAATCGCCTTAGAGAATTCATCACGAACAAAGAACTTCTCAGCATGAAATTCAAGGTAAACTTTATTATCCCTAGCAAGCTTAGAGACCGAAAGCAAATTCTTAGTTATGTGAGGCACATGCAACAATTCAGTCAAGATTAGAGTTCTTGAAGAAGCAGAGGAAACAACCGCATTACCAACATATGAATATCAACAAAACTCCATTGCCAACAGTAAGTTTACCTGGTCCTCTAAACTCAGCAGGGTTCGAGACATTCGCAGCATCTGGTGTAATATGATGTGTAGCTCCAGAATCCACCACCCAATGATCACTGGACCTGGAGACCGTATTAGCTTGCAAATTACCTACTGTCTGAGAATGACCTTTACAGTATTCACATCCCAGGTTTGAAGTTTCAGTAGCAGAGTAGTGTGCATTGGCAGACTGTCCTTTATGAGTTTGAGACTCAGATGTAACACCAAATTCTTCATAACGATGCCAGCATCGATCAACCAAGTGACCGAGCTTGCCACATAGCTGACATTGAATCTTAGTTCGTCCTCGACCTCGACCGCCTGTCCTGTTTGTAAACGATGAGCGTGAAGAGTTAGAGTCACGTCGTCCATTAGCAGAGGAATCATGATCTTCTACTCTCTCAGCAACATTGGCTGCCATAGGAGCATAATCAAACTGCTCTTCGAACCCGGCCAACTGTGCTTCAGCATCTAACAGAACGGTGTAAAGGCTGTCCAAGGACAGTGTTTCCTTCATCGTAGTGAACCGCCAAAACGGTTGATACTCCCTGGGCAATCCTTTCAAGATACTGGCAACATGTCCAACATGCGAAACTGCACTACCACACGAGGCAAGTGCGTCACATACCTCTTTTACACGAGTGAGATACACTCGCATGCTATCATTTCCCTTCCTAAGCGACTGCAACTTGCAGTGCAAACTCATAGCACCGTCGTGGATCTGCTCGCAAAGAGCTGTTGCACAACACTCCACACTGCAGCTGCAGATTCGGCACCAACAAAATGAGGAAGAAGATGAGAGCTAATGGTTGACAGGAGCCACGAAGCAAGCGCACTATCCTACGTAACAAAATCCTCAAATGCATCATTGACACGAATCGAACCGGTATCATCAAGAATCGTCTCCGGTGGTGATTGTAGAGCTCCGGTCAACAAGCGCTCAAGACGGTGACTCCTTACCGTGAGCAGAATTTGCTGCTTCCACAGAAGGTAGTTCATCTCATCAAGAACAACGCTGATTTTCTTGTGAGAGAAGCTCGTGCTTATGGACGACTCCATTGAAACACCAAGGAAGAATGCGCAGCAAGAGTTTTTCAAGAAACCCCAAGACCAATGGCGAAAGATACCATATTAAGAAACTGTATATGAAAGAAATGTATTGAATTCACGTTTATTGCATTTACAATCATACTAGCTTTATAACTAGAGTCAAGCTATCAACCACTTAACAGACTAACAATATTTGGCGCCTAAACTAACTGATTGCCAAAGCCATGCTATAATACATGCATGTACACAGTATGCTATAGTCTAACAATGTTGTATGCCATTTGTTTTTGACATTGCAAATCCCCCCAACCTATATACACACTCTTTATTTTGGTTTCCATGACTATTTTACATGAATGAGTAGAATGAAAATCAGAGATCATATTGTACTGTTGACTTAACCCATTTCTGGTAAACCATTTCAAGTTAAAGAATGCTGTGTCTTAAAAGGCATTTTAGTAGCTTATTTTAGTTTTATATGCCCTTTAGTTTTTGTTGCTGGTAAAATCAATTTTAATATAACTTCCTGCACGATCAATTTAGTCTACAGACATTTTCTTCAACGATGCATCTATATTTGGATGTTGCAGGGGCTTGAGTATTTCCATTGGGAGAAGCCCATAGGTGCCAAAAAGTAACATTTGAAGCTCTTCATAATAAGTAAGCTTACTTTAAAGTGTTTATAGTAAGCAAGACCTGAAAAAAGGAAGAAGAAAAAACTATCTTCCTGTTTGATTGACCTGTAGAAACTAGAAGTATTGTTTTTGATGATATTCTCCGCATTAGCGGCTACTCAGATTTCTGTTTTGATGAATGTTCTACAGTACATGAGGGTTTTCATGGTTAAAAATGTCAAAGGGAGAGACACTCTTTGACCAATGTTGCCTCTTGCAGCATGCTGGCTTTATGCCTTAAACAACCAATCTCTAAAACAACTTCTATGATAAACTGAACCGAGACAAGGGATCCGTTACAATCTATTCGGAAGCGTGATTGGTATTTGTAGTTGAAAATATGGTTTCTATCTTCATCTACCATCCCCCGGATTATGCGAGATTGCTCGCATCTCTCTTCTTTGAAATGGAAGTTGTTTGTCATAAGCTTTTATCTTTGGTGGTTCATTGTTGATGGACACATCTATTTTGCTTTTGTTTTCATTCTCAAGTTTATGTTTTCCTCATATCCTGTAGGACATGGTGGAAGCGATGGTCTACATGCATATGTTCATTCTCTTGATTATGCTGTTGCTGATACGGTATGTTTAAGGTTCAGTGACAAAAGTTTATTTGGATTGATTATTGGATCGGATTAAACCATCTTTGTTCGTCTTCCACCTTGCTACAGAAAATGTTCCTTGGAAAGGTTTTAACCGACAATCCCGGGCTTCCATGCTTTTGCTTTGGTCATTCAACGGGTGGTGCAATTGTCCTTAAGGTCTTTCATAATCAACCATAGTCCCCCTTTAAGTTGTGAATCAAATATTAGTATCTCTCTGTTGCTTTCCCCTGCAAGTTTTGCTCCACTAAACTTTTAATTTCTTTTGCAATATAGGCGGTACTTGATCCGAAGGTTGAAGCCAATGTATCAGGCATTATACTGACTTCTCCAGCTGTAGGTGTACAGCCATCTCATCCGATTTTTGTGGTAAGAACTTCTATTAGTCATATCTTCTTTCCTGGCCGATTTCCGGGATATTTTGCATCTTTGATCGTCGCGTCTTCTATCTATGACAGGTGCTTGCTTCAGTTGTATCATTTCTATTGCCAAGATACAAAGTCAGTGTCACGAATAAAAAGGCCTTGCCGGTTTCTAGGGACCCAGAGGCGCTGGTGGCCAAGTATTCAGATCCACTGGTATGCACCGGACCCCTCTGGGTGAGAACTGGTCATGAAATTCTTAGAATTACATCCTACTTGCAGCAGAATATGAACAGATTGAGAGTTCCCTTATTTGTTCTCCACGGAATGGATGATACTGTAACCGATCCTCGAGCTTCTCAGAAACTGTATGTAGAAGCTGCCTCCACCGACAAAACGATCAGACTGTTTGTAGGCCTGCTACACGATCTCCTATTCGAACCAGAACGAGAAACCATAGTGGGTGACATAATCCAGTGGTTAAATTGTAGGGTATAGAAAAGCGAGTCAGATGAACTTCTTCTACTACCATCAAAGGAGAGAATAGAAGGAACTCTTAATGTAATGAGCAATTAAAGTAGGATGATAAGCAAATTGAATTGCCAAATAAAAATTCAGCATTTACATGCTTGTTTGTACATTGATTCAATATTGTAACTTTGAGGGTCCTTATATTTGATGGTTTCTTGGTGGTTTGTGTTCAAGTTGCATGGTATTATTCATATCGGTCTGATTGTGTTCGTGTTCGTGTTGTATCGTATTTATATCACATGTTCGTGTGATTAATGTTTAAGAAGTTGTGGGAAAATAACTCTTATGGGTGAGATGTTCATGAAGTTGGAAGGTCAATTCAAGGGGGAATATGTTGGCATTTTTGGTAGCATGTAAAGCTGGCAGAAGGAACCCAATAAGAAGTGGGGGACATGCTCTTATATACAAAGACCATTCAATTAATTTAATAAAAAATATATTTTAAAATTATAAATATTAAAATAAGATATTCACCTGACTTGGTGTTAACAGATTGTAAAGCTTTAGATGTTTTCTTATTAGTAAGAAGGAGATTTAAATTATTTAATTTTTTGTCTGCTCGAGCATAATAATAAAAATGAATGAACAAATTACTATACGTAGTGCAATAAAGAAATATAAATTATATTGAATACGGATTTAACTTATGATATAAGGGATTGATTGCGCGAATGACGGTGAATGGTGGACACGTCGGGAGGGATGAATGAAAAATACTCAATCGTTGGCAAAAGATGATACCAGTAGCGGCAACGATGGCAGCACCAATGACTTCAAAGCTATGAATATAAATTAAGAGTTATAAATTTTTCAAATTAATATTTGATCTAATTATAATTAAAATAAGACTATACAATTAATGTTTAATAAATATTGAATTTTAAATATAATTAGATTTTTAATTAATTTATAATTATAAATTTAATATTTTATAATTTATTATTTTTAAATTAATTTAATAATATTCATTTTTAATCGTGCTCATCTACGCTTGACGAGTGTTATAGAATTTTCCTCAATCAATGAGTTTGTCTTGTAACCGGAAAAAAATCATTGAGTTTTTTTATATATTTTATTAATTAAAAATAATATTTTATAATAGATGTAGAAAATAATAAAAACATTATATTCTTTTTTTAAAATAAAAATAAACTATTAAAATTAAAAACACCCGTAAAACAATCTAAAAGTTTATTACAAAAAAGTAAAAAATAACGAGAAAAATTACGCCATGTTGAATTATAAAAATATTTTTAAAAAAAACATCAAAAAGCAGAAAAAGAAAACCCACGAATTATTTCATATTCCCAATTCAAAATTCTATACCTACAGAAATGAAAAAGAAAAATCAAAGAGATAAAATAACAATTCAATTTTGATTCTTTGTCTGCACGAGCATAATAATAAAAATGAATGAACAAATTACTATACGTAGTGTAGTAAAGAAATATAAACTATATTAAATACGGAATTAACTTACGATTTATAATTATTTTACTTAAAAGATATAAAATTTTAAAAATAAAAATTATTTAAATAATTCTTTTTTTTTGAAAAAAATAGTATCTTAGTTTTTTTTTAACTTAAAGTAACATTCAATTAATTGAAACCAATCAAAATCATTATAAATAAAAATAAAAAAAAATATTAATTTAAATACAAAAAATAATTTTATAATTATTCGTTTTATTCTATTTCCATTAATTATAAACAAACCGAGTTTTAAAAAATAAGACTAAAAACTCAAATTTTTTACGACAGAGCAACTCAAAACAAAGTAATATAATAATTTTAATCAATTCCCATTCATTTAAATTTTTAATTCCTGTTTATAAGAAATAGATTTATTAAAAACAGAATCGGTTAATTTTAATAATTCATTTTTATTTTGATAACAAATTAAAGTGCTTATGGTTTATTATCTTTAGATTTATTATAAATTTTTCAGATTCTGGGAAATGTGCGTCTTCATAAATTTTGAATAAACAAACAAGGATGATCATATATATATATATATATAAAGTTATGGTGGCTTAATTTCTAGGAAACCAAACATGAATGAAAGAGAACTCACAAAAACAAAGAGAAAATGGAGTATCAGATCTATGGAGTTGTAAGAGATGATACATTGCAGGTAGACGAAGCAGCCGAAGAGTTCTTATGGTTATGCATCCACACCTTGAACACTTGCCTACTCACCCCAATCCCTCTACAAAATTTCTCCACTTCGTCTTCCTCCTCTCTCCTTTGCAGTTTCCACCCTAGTTTCTCTGCGAATCCCAACATCTTCTCCTTCTGCTCCGCCGTGAATTTTGTCCGGAACCGCTTCTTTACGCCTCTTTTTCTCCCCTCAGTCGAGTACTCCGCCACCATTGGACGTCTTCCTCGGCTGCCGCCGTCGTCCCCGCAATCGATCCGGTCTACGCTGGTGCTGCTGCAGTAGGTGACTTTGCGGTGGAAGTTGCGATGGCAACCGCATGCGGAGCATTGTAGGGTTGAGAGAGAGGTGTCGTCGAGGGTGAACTCCCCACAGCCGTCGGTGGCGTAGCTGCCAAGGCTGGCTGCATGGTTTCTCAAGCACTCCTTGTAAACATCATTTGGGTACTCTTTCTCCATCTCTCCCCTCCTCTCTCTCTTCCTTGTACTTGTTGCTTCTTCTCGACACCGTGTATATATGAAACTACCCATATGTGTGCTTAATGTATATGCATATCAATCTACAGTCTAAATGACAAAAAAATATTATTTTTTCATAATGAATTTGAGTTCAAACAGTTACGTTTGTAGAATGTGTATATTATCAATAAAGTGAACATGAGAAATGCATGCATGATACAATCTATGATACCATGAGGTGAAAACCTAGAGCCAACTTTGAATTTTGTTTAGTTGATAAGCTGAGTTGGTATTATTTTATGAACCAACGCAACACCTTGGGCTGTTTTAGAAATCTTTTGTGTTATTTATTATAATATGGGATTAAATATTTTAATGACTTGAAAGTATGGGAGATTGTCCTGATACATGAACACACTATCTTTCATTTTATGTGTTAATAATGTTTAAAAAAAATGTCAAAAGCTTTGGATTTGGAGTATCCGAAATACAGCAAATAGCATGGTTTAAAGCTGGGATGCCCCGTGAACGGTATGGGTATTCGGTATTCCCCCAATAATTGACAGCAAATAGCAAGTGCTTAAATTTGGGTACAAGAGGATTAGACGGGAATGGAGGCAGCACAGGTAGTGTGTTCCTTTTCTTGCTGGTTTCAGTTCATGTGTCGGAGGATTGCCATTTAGCATTTGGGAATATCCCTTCCATGCATACATAAGGGAGACTAGGTGAGTTGTGTCTCACTAAAAATTTTATTATTTTTGTCATTTTAAATATTTTATATTTTTTTTAATTTTATGAATTTTTCTCTTAGCATAAGATCATGCATCTGTTTCTACATCTCATCCTCGTACTTTCATTTTTACAATCCTAATTACAATTAAAATTAAGTATTTGTTCGTTGTTCGTCTATCCACCAATCATCGTTCAACCGAAATATTTCACATTCCACATTACACATTTGATAATCGATTGACACACCATTCTTCGATTTCCAACTACGAACGAGTGGGATAATTGGTAACGAGGGTCCCTAAATTTTGCTCACCTCTCCACGTCCTATACACCTTCAACTTTTTGTATTGCAAATTTTTTTCTTAAAAAAATTATTTCATTTTCTTCTATAAAGATTGAAGCTCTCCCTCAATAACTATAATCATCATCTTCAACATTCACTCCTCATGATGATTTTCTTTTTGCTGGATTCAAAAGTTTCTCTTTTTATTGTACTTTATTTCACAATATTTTGTAACAATATAATACTCTTCCAGAACAAGGATCAGTGTACTTTTTTTTTAATAAACTTGGCGTCTTTTACAGTAACAAATTAACAACTATTTTGGAGTAAGTACTAGTGTTACTTGATTTAATATCTCTTTTAAAAGAAGGGTAAAGTTCACAGATGATCCATCGAATGTAGAGTGTTGTTTTATTGAGTTTTCTAACTATTAAAAGTTATAAAATGGTCATCCGACAATTTATATGTTCTAAACTTATCATTTTCTATTAAAAAATGGTAGTCGTATGAGACGAACTTATATTGACTGATATATGATAAAATATGATCCTAGAATCATTTTAGTTGTATCTTGTGGATCAAATATCCCTTCATATTATGTCATCAAGTTGGTGCTTGAAATATTATGCTAACGAATCCAAGACCTCAAGAGAGAATAACACTCATTTTAACCATTGAGACCATTCAATAAGTTCTCTCGTCGATTATCTTTATTTTTAGATATTTTAAAAAGTTTAATTTGATGGATCAAATTTGAAGGTATTTAATTTACTGTTCACCATTATCGATGATTAACTTAAACCTTTTATTAGTAAAGACATTATATCATATATTATAGATACTATTTTCATCAATCATTACTCTAAAAAAGTTGTTCTCAAACATTTCTAGTGAAGGCATATTGTCACAAATACCATCCAACAGTTTGGGTTGTTTTGTCTCAACAGCCTCTTAGTACCCTAACGCCTCTCCCTCGTACGGTTAATGACAAGTGAATATCATCTTCTTTTGTGCCTAATCACCTAAGTATACAGACACAACTATTTGAATTCAAATCTTTTAAAAGCGACTGAAACATCTTTATATATTAATTTGTATCTTTGGATTCATATACCGAATACATGCATCCACGAAACTATCAATGCCAATGCGTAGGACAAACGCCTCAAAACCAATACGTTTATAGGCCACTACTCCCACCATCACGAGTTCCAGAGAGGATTTTAAGCATATCAGAGGAGATCATTTCCATCATTGGGAACTGCAACAAATGTTTGGGGTTAAATTAGTTTATATTTTTCTCGAAGTAAGAAACTTAATATTCAGAAAGTAAAGGTTTAACACTACTTAATATGTTATATTAATAATGTTAAAAGTGGATCAAAATGCTAAAACTGCATGTGGGGCGGTTCCTTCAATATATAACTTGTTTTCATGCATGCATCTAACCCTAAACTTATTAAACGTGATAAAACTTGAGAGAATTTATTCCTTCAAATATTCCATAAACAACGAGGCTTCTCTAATGGAGTTCAGACAATTTGTAGATCACATGTCCTTGACTGGGAAACAGCATGCCTATTAGATTCTGGGCATTGTCGGATACACTTCTGATAGGGATTCGCTGGAAAATTCATTTTACACACAAAGTATTGGTTACAAATCTGTCATTATGTATAATTTCAACTGTTCTAATGGAAGTTATGTGTTAGTGACACAAAACTCTGCTGCGAGATATTCCTCTGGAATCTTTCTCAAATATGGTTCTCCATCCATGCTCAGTTTCAGATAAATCCTGAGCTCAAAATCTATAGCACCCCGTAATTCTTAACCAATTTTTTTTCCAAATATGATGATTGAAAAATTCTTTAAACAATTTAAATATTAATTTAAAAAGGTGAAAAATGTGTCATGGTCGATTAAGGTTAGTTAGATAAATTATAGTTTAATCTTGGATTAAATTGAAAACCGTAAAGTAGTAATTGAAAACTCAAGGACCAAATTAGAAAAGAAGCAAATGTAGATGTCTTGCAAGTTAATTCTTCCAATAAATTAGTTAGTGGAATTCAATGAAATATATATAATTGTGTCAAATTTTCATAAAGGTGAAGGGTGCGTTTCGAAACTCACAAACTCACATTGGTATAATTACATTTTTATCTCTTTTGAATGAAATATAATGCTCTAAAGTCCATATTTAATATATTTAATAATTTAATCCTCAAATGTGAGTTTGATAAATGTTTAAGTGATTATTAATCCGATTTAGTTCATATTCGGCATCGATCAAGTTTTGATTAGTCAAGGTAACATTTTTAAAGATAAAAATAAAATCTATTTTAAAATTAAGATATTAATTTAAAATATATAAAAGGTTATGAATTTAAGTTGAGTTCTAAAGGTTACTATACAATGTGCTTGGTTTCCCAAGCAGAACAGGTTTGAATCCCCCTCTTTTATTTTTGTTACATTTATTTTCTTCCAATCGGACGGTTACATGTGTTACAGTGTGATCAGATGATTAAATTAAAATTAGAACCTAATTGATAGAATGTATAAGCAATATAGACTAAATGTATAATTATACTGAAATTTTTAACCGTCTGTTTTGTTAAATGTTAAAGGCTATATCATTTAAACAATTAAGTAATCTAATTAACAAAATTGAAAGATCAATGGTCATATTAGAATTTGTCAATAATTAAGAGGTCATGGGTATAATTTATCCTTTTTTAACCACTAATATATGATCAATTGATTTCTTAATTCAGATTATAAGTGCTATATAATTTTCTTTTATAAAGCACATTGTCTTTTATAATTTGAATAGAATACCGCATAGATCATCATGCAAGCATACTATCTTTTACAAAGCAAAGTGCATTTTTTCTATCTTTCTAGATATGATGCTTTGACTTAAGGACTAGCTCAGGGCACCTTCTCTTTTTCTTTTTTAGATTTAAAGGTGCAAGTCCCCCACTCCCCACTCACATGGTTTGTTTCATGAACCATCACTGTTCAACTTTGTGTGTGATTTCTAAGGGTGATGGATCAAAAGCTGCCGAAAATGAAGGGTCCCCAACATCGCAATAGATGATTAGTGTTTGTTGTGGATAGCTTTTGTCAGTTCATGGAAGCCTTGGTGTTCTATTAACATCTATGTGGTACCTTTAATAATCATGCTAGTTCAGGCCACCTGTTGCCACTTATAGCTTAGTTTACCATTTTCGTATGTCAAGACTTCTAGAGAAGTCTTCGCAGTTGTGGCCTTCAAAAGAGTATTTTTGAACATAAGGTCTTCAGAATCTCGCATCCCAACATTAAGGGTCACTATAAGACCTCTCGATCAAGACCGAGAGAAATGATCTAGCAACACATTATTATCATTTTTTTATCGTTTAAAATGGAGATGAATATGAGCTTGGAGATCAAATTTTGGAAGGTCATTGAAACAAAAGAGACTACAATTGTAAGCACAAGCAGATAAAGAATAATATTTGGAGTCTGTTTAATTGGCTTATTGTCTTTGGAGTTTGAAACTCTATCTACATGAAATTTCTAGCCCATGCACCATTCTTGTATTTGAGTAATGACAACTCTTGCGCACAAGGATGGATCGAGAGGATTAGCGAGCACCGTTATCTTTTTGAAAATTTTGAATTCTCATATATTTTAAATATTTTTTTATATTTTCTTTTGATAATATATACTCATTTCTCTAAAATATTATAAATTCATCATCTCTGACAAAAAATTATACGTTTATACTGAATGAGCATATATATATATATAATGTAAAGCACATAAATGGTCCCCTAATTATATGGTACTTCTTTGTTGAGTCATTCAACTATTAAAAGTTATAAAATGGTTTTCCGACTGTAGGATACTATGAGACCCTCGTTATTTAAAGACATAAAATGGTCACCAGACTATTTATATGTTCTAAACTGATCCTTTTTCACTAAAACATTGGCGACTGTCTGAGCTAAATGTTAA